AATTAGTAGTAAAGAAAGAATGTATGTAATAAATAGAGATAGAAGATAACCTGACAACCAAGTAGTGTAAATAATGTATTAATAGCATCCGAATCGATAATTTTGTCTCAAATATAATAATTTAATAAGAGAAAACTCGTATTAGCATGACCATTTATATCCTCATATGCGTTTAGTTGTGTGCCTCTTTCGTAAAAGCAAATCACATAAACCTCTGTAACGCGTAACTGCAATAAACCTATAGTTAGCGGCAAAACCGCCGAAATTCGCTACGCCGAAAAACTCGATTCGATGCACTGAAGTACCCACCACGAAATCACGTAGAAATCGATCTTGAGAAGCCACAAGCCAGAAGAAAAGAACTATCGGAATTATGGCGGTATAAACCGATTCGGACTTGGGGCAGTGCCAAAAGCTTAGCCGGAGGAGGCAATGCTATGGTTGCTACAAAAATAGCGTTGTACTGCACGATGGACTTAGATTAGAAAAAGTTCTTTTTTTCTTTTGTTCTCCCCCGCATGTAAATTTATTATAAAATGGGGCTTGTTTCGCCCTCTAATGAAAGAAATATAGTATATGTTCATATTTTGAATAATGTCGTTCGTTGATGATAAAACCGTATGTGAGCTAAATAATGTTAACGGCGGCGGTATCACAGACCAACAATTCACCCATAAAAAAACACAAACCCAACCCACACCACGATATACTCGATTGGTAGAAGTGGTAATGATTTGGCAATGTAAGGCTAAATCGGGTATTTTGTGGGTTAAATATCCGTTGCTAAAGTAAATTCTGCATCAAACTTGTGAGAGCTAGTTTAAGTGCAACAGTACGTGCAAAACCAAATGATCTGGTACGTGTCCGTAGTAGGGATAGCGATAGCATAATCTGCACATAAAACTGATTTTACCGCAAAAGCATATTTGACAGCATATTCGCATATTAGGACGAATTTCGCATAATTAATAGAGCATAATCTGCGCATAAAATGACAGAAATAAAGATAGAGTATTATAAGGTTTATTAATTTCCCTACCATTTCCTATTGGACGCATAGAAATCTTGCATTTTATTTGACGAAACATATATCGTCAGATTTTGAAATTTTCAATTCGATCAAATAATGGCACGAATGTTAGTAATAAATCACATCATTAAAGCATTAAAGAAACATATTTTTGATTATTTTTTTTTGTATCTTTATGTTACACTGATTCGGTAGTTTGATTGGGTTCATGTCACTTGCCCGACAACCATTTCCCAACAATACTATCGTCACGAGAAATGTAATAATTTATTTAACAGGTTTAAGAAAAGGAGGATTAGGGACGTTGCGAGTTTAATTAAGGATAAACATAAATCCACGGGTTCAATTAAACATTAGACTTAAAACATGATGTCATCAATAGTTTTTATTATTCAATAAAAATTCAATAAAAGGAATTCATTTATTTATATATTCCCACTTGATTAAGACTATGATTTTTTTTCATTCGAAGAAAGAGGAAGTCCTTTATGCTTTCGAATACATATAAGGAGGAATAATGATTATAAACATCTTTACACCTTTTATTTTCATTATTTATCCTGCAGCATCACAGGATAATTATATAGCCAAATTAAATTCCCAATTCTTCTAATATCAATTCTCTACACCGCCTTCACGCCTCTCGCAATAAATAATGCATAGGAAAATATTTTGACGAATGAATAAAGAATAAATAAAATATAACTGATAAAATGACAATAAAATAAAATATAACTAATAAAATGACAATAAAATAAAATATAACTGACAAAGTGACAATAAAATAAAATATAACTGATAAAATGACAATAAAATAAAATAAAATAAAATAAAATAAAACTCCACGTGATTAAATATACAGTCAAACCTCTCTATAGTCACCTCCTATATAAGCACATTTTCTTTCTAAACCCTTTTTTTTAAAAACAACCTATTATTAAATATAATAAATTTAACCTTTATAACTGTCACATTTCTTTACAATCACGTTGTTTTGTATTCCAAGTGTGTGATTATGGAGAGGTTTGACTGTATTTCTTTTAATGATACTAAAAAATATTTAGTTTTTAACACTTAATATCATCTTTTGTTTATCATGTAAAATCTCATCATTATTAGTAGAAACCACGGGATACGCTGTTTTATTGTTATGGACTATTTTATCGCTATACCATCTCAGAGGTTTAAAAATAATCTAATTAAACAAAAACAATTAGCTAAAGAAATGGTAAATTGATTTAAAATATTAAACTTTAACAAACCCAAGCAATGCAACATAGAATAGCATCATAAAACGTATTATTTGCTGGTGAAATTCCTATATAGCATAAATAAATATTATAATATGCTCAACTTTTAACTATCAAAAAGAAAAGAAAGCTAGATTATATTTACCTAGCGATGAAGCCCTAATAGCATCACCAACAATATCTGTAGTAATAAAAAAATTTCCTTTACATAAATCTGCATAATATATGTGTATGTCTTTAATTAGTATTGGAATGATAAAAGTATTCATTCATATTACGATTTATTACCATTATATAAAAATTTGGCAGCTTGTTCCGGGTTTAATTTACTATCGCCTTCTAAATCATGAGTTAATTTTGGCTTTACTTTCATCTATAAACAATATTTAACGATGTTAAAAAAGCCTACATCATTGATTTGTTTACAAGGAATAGTTACCTCTTCACGATAGCCAGGGGTGTCAAGCGTTCCGGCAAAATAACAGTGTACACTAATATCATAAAGAATTAGTTCATTACGAAGGCACTCCACTAAACCTATTTATTTATGGTTATAAAATTAATTTTAAGATCATAATTAACAAAAAATAAATAAAGACATTATTAATAATCACCTTTGATAGCATGCTTTGTTGGTGCATAGGATGAATATCCAACGAACCCACATAAACCCAGCAAAGAGCTAACAAGAACAATCTTTCCTTTGACACTTTGTTGAGCCATACGTTTTACTGCCTCCTATAATTTATTCATTTAATAAATACAGTATAATATTAAAAACATATACAATTGTAGTAGATCTGCCTTGCTAAACTGACAAACCGACAGTAGTCGACGTTTTGCAACTATTCAAATGTTAGCCATAACCCTAGGTTGGCTAATTGAAATTTCTGCAAAATAACTGTCGGTAAAGTGAGCAGTGCTGATTGTGGATTGTGGAATAAATCGTACATGAACAGTATACAAAGTTCCGAAGTAATTAAGTTGCATAGTTTTCTCAAATTCTTTGATTGGTTGTTCTATAAATATGCGAGGCAATGAAAAACCTATAAAAATTATCGATAAATTAAGGTTATCAATTCGACATAATAGATTCGAGATTATTTCTTTAAATTGTTTTTTGTAATAATCATATCGGCGAATTTGCGGAATTGACCTAAATTATGGTTCATATATTTTAACAATGCGATTGTAAAACTGACCCCAAAATTTCAGCTATTATGCAATTGTTAACTGTTAAATCTAGGGACTCTAATTTAGATCCATTCCGCAAATTCGCCGATATGTTAGCATAAAAATACCCTAGGCCGTTGAATGTTAGAGAAAACAAAGCTTCCACTGTATGTATATGAATCAAAATATTTTTTGGTTACTTAATGCTCGTGATCTTAATATTAATTCAGTCAGGGATTCTTGTATGGTATAGAAAGTCGATCACATGATTCTAGATCATTTGGTTGCACGAAAATCATGTGCAATTGACCAATCAAATTTACCACAACAAAATTTGCTTATTAATTAAAAGAAGTTAGTCTCCATTTACCTTTTGTATAATTGTTTATTTCGAGAGATCAAATGAGATCATTTAAAGTAGATATATTAGCTATTCGTATATCGTTTAATGTCGAATAAATAAATAAAATATCAAATGAGCCCACACGGCCAATCAAATTCACGGAATGATACAGAAATCATTCTAGAATGTGATTTCCTAATTTAGTAAAATCCCTGACTGTAATTAGGAATTGCCAGGCTGAATTATGTTGATCATGGCCAGAACAATTTTAATGCAGGCTGAATTAAACGGTTAAGAAGTTTTAGGCGTTTCCAATCCCTAATCTTAATATAATGATCGGGTATACGGAATTATTTTTGTTACAGTCTAGAGGAGTATTTTTGTTGGGCAAATAATGTTAAATTACCTGCACAACAGAAGATCACTTCTGGCACTCTTCCATTATGCTTTGATGAAGCTTCATTAAGCGCCCGAATAGATTCATCATAATCTGACAAATCAGCAAATATAGCATTAAACTTTAAACTTTT